TCCGTTGCCGGACACGGAAAAAAAAAAAAAAAAAAAAAAAAAAAAAAAAAAAAAAAAAGAACTACTGATTATTTCTTATCCTTGATAAAATCTGTTATTAAAAACTCTAGTGAGTTTTTCCATTTCAGTTGTCATAGTTTAAATCTCTAGAATTTGGTTCCTTTTTATTCTTTTTATTGAAACATAATGTATTGTATGTGTGTGGGGTAAGAGTTGCATATCAATACATACATGCAATATGTGATGCTCAAATCAGGGTAATTATAGTACATTCAATGTTACATAATGTTATCATTTTCATGGAATCTGGATCTTTTTATAATTTCTGTCTCTTTTTTGATATTCTTTATTTGTTCCTATATCATTCTCCTCATTTACTTTGGCTGTTTGTCCATCATTTTCTTTAGCTCTAGCTACATATTTAATACTATTTATCCTAAGTCTTTGTCCAGTGAGTTCAACGTCTGTACTTCCTTAAGGAAAGTTTCTGTTAATTTATTCTTTCAATCCACCATACTTTCTTGTTACTTTGTATCTTTTGTAATTGTTTATTGAAACTCAAACATTTTGATTATTATAATGTGGTAATTCTGGAAATCAGATTCCTCCTACTTTCATTGTTTGTTTTCATAGTTTTCTGTGGATAGTAGTTGTTTGTTTACTGATTTTTTTAAACTATTTTTGTAGTCTGTGTTCTCTGACATGTGTCATCTCAGACGTCTTTGTTCTGTAGCTTGTGGTCAGCTTGTGTCCTGACAAAGACTTCCTCAAATGCCTAATCTCCTCCCACCCTCTCACCTCCAACAAAAAGGGGGTGAGAGGAACAAAGGAAAAGAGAAAAGGGGGGATCTTCTCCCAGTCTTTATAGATTAGTTTTGTGTTGGGATATTCCTTCAATGCTTAGCCCAGCTATTTACAACTATGCCTTAGCCATCGCTTTCTGTGTGTACTGAGCCTAGAAATCAACCAGAGACGAAGACTTAGGATCTTCTCAGATGTTTTCTGAGCATGCATTCTTCCATAAGCATGCGACTTTCTGAATTCCCCTTAATGCAGACCTTTTTCAATACTATGATTTCCCAAAGAAACTCTCTCTTCAACTCTTTCTCCCAACTTTCAGTCTATCTTTTGTTTGTTTCAATTATATTATTTTTCCTCAAATAACAGTGAGTTGATCATTTTCCTTAGAAAATTTTTGAGGAATGCCCTGTGCACAGCTGCTTTACCACTTGAAAGAGTTCCAAGTTTGGCAAAAAAAAACACAAAAAAGACAAGAGCCTGTGTCTGTCCCTTAGGTTACCCCCAGACAGGTTAAAAGAAACAAACCCAATTATTTGAGAATAAGGAACAAGATGTGTTCTTCTCCCTCTGGAATCACGGGCCAGGGTCCCACATAAAGTCATATGTAGTAATACATTTAAATTATGTAAACCCTTACTGCCTAGTCATATTCTTTTATAAAAATTCCTAATATGAATTGGTAAGGACTAGACAAAATTTCTGAATACCATCTGCTATAGTTTGGATATGTTTGTCCCACCAAAGCTCATGTTGAAGTCTGATCCCTAGTGTGGCAGTTCTGGGAGGAAGAGCCCAGTTTCAAAGTGTTTGGGTCATGGGGATGGATCCCTCATAATAGATGAATGCCCTCCCTTGGGGTGAGGGTAGTGAGAGAGTTCTCACTCAATTAGTTCCCATGAGAGCTGATTGTTAAAAGGAGCCTGGCACCTCCCCTCTTTCTCACTTTGTTTTTTTGCCATGTGATCTTGCACGTGCCAGCTGCCTTGCCACCTTCTGCCATCAGTAGAAGCATCCAGAGGCCCATGCCATGTGCAGATTCCCAGAATCATGAGCCAAATAAACCTTTTTTCTTCATAAATTACCTAGTCTCTGGTATTCTGTTATAGCAACGCAAAAACAGACTAATACACCATCTAAGTATTCACTTTTCAGGGCCCATCTAAGTTCCTACCAATTAAGAAACTGACAAGGAATAAAACAGTTAGAGATCAAAATTCATCTTTATTATTAATAAAGGTTAGATTGGTTGACACAGTTTAGATATGCAGCAACAATGAGCCTTTCTTAATCATGAAGCCCAGAATTAGACAGACTTACCAAG